TATATATGTCTACATTTAAAAATGAATATAAATTATAGAGTATATGTGCACACAAAAACAAAACACACTAATTGCTCGAGTGAAGCGACAAAAATAATAATAATTTTTTGCATTTGTGTGCGTTGTGTTTGAGTGCTTTAAAGAAAGTAAAAAAAAAACTAAATAAAAAGAAACCAAAATAAATATACGTTTAGAACTTAAAATTACAACTAAATTAACAAGAAGGGCAGCGCAAAACAGCGACAGGAGTGTTTGAAGTTCGGTGCTTGAGTTGTCCTAAACGCAGTCGCTCAACAAAAGCTCACACAGATAAGCAACCCCCTTAAAAAGAAAACAAATCCTGTTTAGTTGGCTGATCTTGTGCAGAACAGAAGAATAACAACATTGTTTTTTTCAGTGCAATATCGTAGTTGTGGGTATTACGAAAGCCATTGTAATTCTTTCGTTAAGTTGTAAATGTAATTATATGATGTTAAGCGCAGACTTGTAATACTGCTACAATCCTAACAGTTGTTGAGTTCATGTATGAATAACATACATATGTTAAGCAAAAGATGTTAAGTTGTAAAATAATCAAAAGATATTAGGAGATCTTAATTTTTGACGTAAGCTAACAGATATCAAATATGTTATTTCAAGTATAGTACTACATATATATATATAGTACTGTATAACTCAAATACACCAAGTAGCCGATGTTGGGGTATTACAAGGCTAACCGCTGTTAAACTAGAAAGGAACTTGCTTCAACTAAAACTTAATTTAACATTCAGTGAATTCACTTCGCTTATTTAATTGCTAATCGTAAGCTATATTAAATATTTTTGTATTTCCACAAGTTTTGACCCCCAGTGGGGGTCAAACTATTTGTTGAAAATACGTGCTAAATTCATTTCATAATTTATGTAAACGAATTACCTTTTGAATGCCCACAAACGGAAGCCAACTAAACAAAATTTGTTTTGTGCATTCATAGTTAAGCCATATATATTTAAAATGCCCTATTTAACAATACGAACTGGATAATTGAATAAACCTTGTATATAATTTAGCGTTATGCTCGTATATATCGAAATACAAGCTACTTATAAAACGTGAAGACTTGCATATAGTTGACAGGCGCAAGGATTTGTAAAATAGCAAAACAACAAACAAAACAATACGAAAGGAAAATATGGACTAGAAGGATATATTGCTATAGGGGGAATGTATTTTGTTTCTTAACCATTTATAAATTTGTTGAGTGCATTTGAAATACTACGCCACAAACTGCATTCAACATACATCCACACACATACACACGTAATTTACAACAAATAATGATAATTACAAAATAGAGTTACAAGTGGGTTTAAATAATACGCATAAAAACAAAACAACAACAAAAACAAAGAAAAAAAAAAAACTACCAGAAAAGTCTTCTTGCGTTTTTTCCATATAAGTAAAGGTTTTTTTTTTTGTTTTAGCCTAAAGATACTTTTTTATATAACAAAATAGTTAAAGAAGCGCCTACAAAAACATAAGCAACAACAGCAACCACATACACAACACACAATAAAGTTATTTGTTAATGATAATTGTACTGTATTTGCCATTTGTGAGCAGCTTTTGCATACATATTTATTTTAGTGCTTAATTTTATAAATGAAGCGAAAAACGAGACGTGAAATGGTTTCCTTTTTTGCATTGGAGCAGCTGAGCGCCGGACACCCTTCACATCCCCTCCTTTCCCCTTCACCAGCCCCTCCTAAGAACCTACGTACGTACATATTGCACACATATAAAGAAACTGAAAACAAAGTGAATGAAGAAATAATATAAATATCCTTCCATGTTGTTGTTTTTGTTTGTTTCAACTGAACTGCAACAATAAACGTAAACGTAACGAGAAATTTTTGCATAAACAGAAAATACAAAACAAACTATAGTTTATTACATAGTATTTATATATAGGCAAGTGTGTATTTGTATATGATATGCTGTCTAATACCCTCTATTCCTAACTCTCACACACACACACATACACGATACCTAACATACGATACATACATATATAATTTGAAACATCTCTATATTATGATTGAGTATAATTAAAAATCATAGTTTTTAATAGTTTTTAAACAAGCAAAAAAAAAAAAAAAGGAGAAAAAAACAAAAAAAAAAATACAAAAACATCAATTGCAAAAAACACTCTTAATGGCTTTTCTTTTCTAATTTTGAAATGGAAATGGGGGTGTGGGCATGGAGTGGGGGCGAAGCTAGTCGTCCTGGCAACCACTGCAAGGAGCCAAACATTGCGCCCAAGCTGACGACATTTTTAGCTTGAATTTGTGGAACGATTTGATTTTTACAGTCATTGCGTAGCGTTCGCTCTGGGATAATGGCCGCTGAAGATTCTTGGGTATTCGATTCTCTGGTTTGCTTTTTGCACGGACCTGTCTGGAATGCCCCGTTGCAGACATTCATCGAGCAAAAGTCCTTGGGTAAGAGATTGGCAAGGAGCAATCGATTCGGCCACGTCATGGAATAAAATCTTTTGTGGCTGCAGTCTTTGATCCCAACTTGCAGCTGGACGAGAACAACGAGGACATACGCCAGATCCACGAGGAGTACAAGAATCTGGTGGACTTTATGCTGGGCAGCTTCATGGAGGAGATGCACATAACGCCGGAACAGTTCGAGATGGCCTGCCTTGAGGGCCGCCAGCAGGGCCCGGGCGAGAATCCGTTTCAGTTTCATCACGTGCTCTTTCAGCAGGTGAGTGGGTCGTGCGGCGACTCCTGCTCCATGCATGCTTTATGTATAGTTTACCTGTAATTATGATTCCAGATCTGGGCTGCAAATGACCTGAAGATCTTTATACGCATGATGACCCAGCGCAATGTGGAGCTGCAGCTGCAGGCGTTGGATCTCATTGAGAAGCATCAATTGGCGCGCACAGCTTCTGCGGAGCCAGAGGAAACAGACAGTGCAGCGGCTGCAGATGCCAGGTAGACATACTATAGTATTATAATCCTCATCCTGCTCATCTCATCCTTGTTAGCAATGGCGTCGCTGATTTGGATGTGGATGCACTAATTGCCAAAACGGTGGCCAATGAGCTGGAGAGTCCAGAGGCTGCCCTAACGCCTGAGCAGGATGCCAATTTGGAGTTGGTGAACGATAAGTTTCAGCGCCTGAATCTCTTCTTCGAGCAGGAGGATAAGGTGGATCCCAATGAGATCATCTCGCGCCAACAATATTTGCGCCAGCAGCGCGACAAGATCGTGGAGATCAAAAAGCAAACACGCGCCAAGCAGCTGCAGGAGACGGTGGCGCGCAACACGCCGCAGCTGCCGCTCGAGCCAGGCGCACGTCCCAGCTCCGCGCAGGTGGCGCAGCAGCTGCTCGAGAATGTGGAGCTGGGCAAGCCGCCCGAGGCGGTGGACGAGGCGGACAATGCGGCGCTGCAGCTGCGACGCACGCTGGCCAAAAGGCTGCGCAGCGAAGTCGTGGAGCACAATTGAGTGTGGGAAGAAGAAGAGGCTATCGTAATTATTTGGAGTTTAGTTTTATTTATTTTTTATTGCAAGCTTTATGGCCAATGTCTTAACAGAGTGCGTCGTGTGTGTGTGTGTGTGTGTGTTACCCAAACGCTGACTAGTTCACTTGTGTATGTGTGTATTACAGGGTGTTCGTGGTTAAATGCTACAAGGTACTACGCGCTTCTGACGCCCACACACACACACACGCACACACACATAGCTAATCTGCGTGTGTGTATGTGTGTGTGTGGGCGCTGCTTTAATTTAGTTTAGCTTTTGTCTCGGTATCAACACAATCGTAATAAATCTGCGCTTAGCACATGTGCTAAACAATTTAAATTAATTCAATGATAGATGCGTGTTGTGGTTGTTGTTGTCTGTTTGTTGCTGTTGTTGCTGTTGTTGTTACTGTGCTCCCTTCAAGTGGGTATACGATCACGTAGATAGGACATTATAGAGTCTGTGCCCTTCATTAGAATCTGATGGCGCGGCTGACGGAATGGATTGCCCACCAGCTCCAAGTGACTGTAATATAGGAGGGAATATGTTAGATAAAATATAGGATTCCCCTTGAAACAGTGTATAAGACGACTTACGTAATATTTGTTAAATTTCCCAGTGTAGGCGGTACATATTCAATATTATTATTGCGCAAATCGAGCGTGCTTAGGCGTGGCAAATTCTGCAATCCAGCCACATTAATGGCCTTAATTTGATTATCGCTGGCTATCAGAATCTCCAGACCCTGCAGCTCATACAAGGCATTAGGCAGGGCCTCAAAGCTGCAAAGGCGCCCCACATTAGTTTTGGTAATTAACATAAATGATGTGACATTAGCTACCGATTGTTGGCAATGTTCAGCTCACGCAGCGTGTTGAGCAGCCCAAACTCGGACGGCAAGTCCTTGATCAAATTGTTGGACAAATTTAGAAATGTTATGCGCGTGAATTGCGATATAAAAGGTGGCACGTTGTTAATGACGTTGTGCGAGAGGACCAGCTCCGTTACCAGATCGGACATGTGCTGCAAACTGTGAAATAACCCTTGATTATTATTGTTGTTATTATAGTATGTAAGTGTGCTCACCCTTTGGGCAGGGTACTTAGGTGATTGCGCGCAAAGTCCACCACATGCACCTTCTCCTCGCTGGCCAGCTCGAACACGTGGGCGGGCACATCAGTAAGGCCTTCCAAATTCACAGCTAAGGTGCGTGTATGTCGCAGTTTGTATCTGTGAGATGGCAAATGGGAACAGGTAATATGTGTTAGTCTAGATATCAATGGAAGAGGACAGTTATCTTCGCAGAATCGAAGGTTATATAGCCTTGCAGATACATAGACACAATTTCAGGAATATGGTATACATGGCTAAATAAACATAGCAGATACAGGCATTCATTTATATCAAGTAGTATACAACAAAATTATGGATCTATACTGAACTTTACAGGACAGGAATATACAATAGAACTCTCCCTAGAATATGTTCTGCAAGGATATAAAAAACTTTAAGCTAATGCCCATTGGAACTTGGTGATACACTACACCCAACGTGGTTGCACAACACAACGGTTGTACGGATTAAATGCGTCCAGTTGCGATACGGGCATGCCTGAGTAACCGGGCATATAATGGCCACCATGGCTGTTCCGATAAATCATTTGTGGCTGTGACGCATATTGATTAGCTTGACCAAATTGAAGCTGATTTAGCTGCTGCTGCTKATGTTGAGGTTGATGTTGCTGTTGCTGTTCCTGCTCATATTTCTCTGGTAATTCTTGATAGTATAAGGCATACTGCTGCTCCGGCTGCTGTTGCAGCAGGTGCTGCTGCTGGTGCTGCATAAAATGCTGGCATTGACATCCGCAATGGCAGCGCATGAATGGCGACTGTGCGCAGTTGGGCTGCTGATAGCTGCTGCGTCGTTGGATCAATGCCTGATAACAGAGAAATGGTTCCCATTGAGCAATTACTTACTTGTCGGTCATGTTGGCAGGCAGCTGTTGCTGCTGCTGCTGTTGCATGGGCAGTTGACTACCCGCAGCGGAACTGCTGCATGGCAAGTCCTCGGCACCGCCATCCGCTCGCTCCTTGGCCTGGGCGCGATCGTGCAGAGTTTTCAGGATGCGCGCTGTGCCGCATTGCAGAATGTCGCGTCGTATGGTCTTGATGGGATTGCCGTCCACCTGTAGGCTGATCAGGTGGGCCAGCGTGGACAGCGTGACGGGCAGCACGCTGATGGAATTGTTTGTGATATCCAGGCGATTCAGATTGCGCAACAGGCACACCTCATCGGGCAGCTGGGTGATTTTGTTGTCTCGCAAATCCAAGATCTTCAAATGAGGCAAATTCTCGCATAGCTCCTTGGGCACGTGCTGCAAGGACACGATAGGCATGAGCAACCACCTTATAAATACACATTCCACGTCTAGCCACTCACATCGATATAGTTATTGCTGGCGTGGAGTTCGCTGAGCATTTCGTTGCCCTCGAAGTTGGGCAGCTCCTTGATGTCATTGTGCTGGACATAGAGGAATTGCAGCTTGCGCAACAGGCCCATGTCCTCGGGCAGGGCGACCAGATCGTTTTTCATGAGATCCAGCTTTTGAAGAGCTTGAGCCAGGAGCCATGAGCCAGGATTACTACGGCATTAGCTAAGTTAATTATCGCCAACTTACAGCGCATATAGACAATATCGGGCGGCAGCTCCTTGATGTGATTATTGGCCAGCAGCAGAGCCGTTAGACGCACCAGAAACCCTATGCCACCTGGCAAACTGTTTATGTTATTGTTCCCAGCATCCTTGTGTAGTTACGTGTTAGCAAAGCAATTGGATCAGTGGGTAAGTGGGGGAGGATTAATTCGATTAGGATTAAAAGCGATTAATAACCAGAGCCACCATTTCGTATAGCTACTGCAGCCACCTACCAGAAACTCCAGCATGTGCAAATTGCTAATGTCCGGATTGAGCTCCTCGAACTCGTTATGCGATATGTTCAGATGCCGCAGCTCTGGCAAGCTGTAGAGGTCGGGCGGCAATTCCTTTAGCTTATTGTGGCTAAGATTCAGGCGCACCAGCTTCTCCAGCTTGCCAATCTGCGGCGGCAGCTCGACCAGAGCATTGTCATGCAGCTGGAGTACGGTGAGCGTTAACAGATTCTCGATTTTGGGCGAAATGTGCGTCAAGGCGTTCGAGCTCAAGTCCAGATTGTTGAGGGGCACCTGATTCCACCAGGCGTCCTCCTCGTTAATGGATAACTGCTCCAGAGTGCGTTTCTTGGTGTCCGCATCGGCCTCGTTGATGTTAAACAAACGTTCGGGCACTGCAATAGAAGGCGGATGAGCATTAGAAATCATTGCGGAAATCATTGTGTTATCTCTCTCTCTACTGGCGGCGGCGGCGGCTGTGCTGGCATCTTGATTGGGCTGCTGTGGCGCTGGATCATCCAGTTCGATCTCATCATCGGGATCCTCGCTCTCCAGCTCATCGGCGGACGAAGCCATTTGAAATTCCCGTATCTGATAGTAGCGTCGTCGTCGCGGATGCGGACCACACATACAAAACGACGTCAGCTGCTTGCGTGTTTGCCTCGAGGACGCAATCTTGAAGGATATTTTTCGTACACTAGCGACACTTCTATAGCCAACGAGCGCCGCGCACAAACTAAACAACGGTGGCCAACAAATACAAGTATTGCTCGAGATTGCGTCACCCGGCTGCCCAGTGGGGCGTGTAATATGCACGGCGCCTTCTATGGCCAGCCAGGGGCAAGTTCGAGATCTCGCTGACAAACGCTGGCATTCGCATCTACATATAGAGAAACCATAAGGCGCTGCTATCCATGTATCTAACATCGATAGCATCCGAACGTGCTTCGACCTTCGGCTTCATGGAGTTCCAGCGACGCATTTGCTCTGCCGACACCACGACACCTAAACTCACACACACACACATGCATACGCACACACAATTGCAAAAGTCAGTATTGATATTTGATGACCTACCTCGTGCCATGCCCTTGTTGGTCAGATTTAGTGTGCCCGTCTTGCGCGCCAGCTTCCACAGCGTATCGGTGAGCAGCGTATCATCCTCCTTGCTGGTGCGCTCGTGGAACACCGGCTGGAATGCGTAGTTGTTGCGCGGCGACAGACTTTGACGTGGCCTTGCCGCGGCCCTGGGTATGCGACTGGCGCCCGCACATGATGTGCCCGGATTCTGGCGCGCGTTCATCTCGCAGGGACTGTTGTATTGATTGTAGCAGCCGCTGGCAGGCACCGAGTCCAAGTTGTAGTCGCCCCCGCAATCGATGGTGTTATCGCATTCGTCAAAGGGGATGCTGTCCAGAAAGCTATCGTTGCTGTGGTTGGACAACAAATTCGTTAATTTAAATCACCTCTGCATTTATATGATTTTTCGTCTATTATTTACGTTTGGCGCTGTTCTGCGCCGTTCGGTTGTTTTTGTTGTCAGGCAACAGCTGATGCGTGCGTCCAGTGTTGGACAACAGTAAATTGTGCGTAAGCGTTGTGCAGCACCAACGACAAATTGAGCTAACGTCTAATTAAAACATCAAACCAACCAAATAAAAACAATTTATAAAAAAAAATTAAGTAAACTATTAAATGAATATAAAAAAATTATTTCGATAAAAAATCAAATTAAAAGATAACAAATTGCAAAATATAAAATTGTATAACCTTGATATATCTTGCGGAAATAATGAGCTTTTGATTTGTTTAATGCTATTCTTAGCAATATTATATGCATTTTCATAAATGCAACAAACACACTTGCATGCCCGAGATTTGTATAAATACGAACTGCGCCTGCAGCTGGGCCAGCTAAGACAATTGACATCAATTTGAGCTACGCCAAACTGGGGCAATGCTCGAGACGCACCTGACGAGCGATTTTCATGAAAATTCGTTTTCATGAATTTCAATTGCTAAAGTGAAAGACTAAGCTGCTGCCTGCGTTTATCGTTAATTGAAATGATCATGAACTTAAATCCAAAACAAATGTGTGCCCGCGGCCCACGTGTCGTATGCGCAATTTGTGCTAGCTCTGGCTTTAGGGTGGACCAAATATTGCACAACAGACTTCATATTGCATAACTTACTTGATCATCGTGTGGCCATTCATTTGGCTGCCGTTCCGCTAAGCTTTGTTGTGGCTTCTGCGAGTCATATGGAAAATGAAGTAAAAGAATGGCGCATTAGCAAGGTCAGACAGTCCGACTTGTGGGTATGTGTATTGAATTTCTTGGAGTACTATAAGCACACTGTAAAATGTTAGTCTAAGAAGAGTAGTGCTCGCAAGTTGCCGAAGCGGCAAAAATGCACACACACACATATTCGTATATATCCACATTTCTATTTTGTTTTGTGGCTCTACTTGGGCTTTTCGGTGTGGCTTACAACCGAGCCGCACTACTCTGGTGACGAGGCTGTCAATCAAAATTATGAATAATGCGGTAGCACACAGCGCACCGCCTGCCAGAGGGTCGCTGGCCCCCACACAGCCCTCCCCCTTCCCTCTTAGATAGGGGCCAGCCACCCCACTCAAGCAGTTGACGAGCGGCGACTGGCTTGGCTAACTATGCCAGTTGTCATTTGGTTTTCTAGCTGCTCGCTCGCCATTCCGTCTCGAGTGGGGCCTAGAGACTGCTGTCAGGGTGTACCTGATTTCGAGATTTTGGTTTCGTTTCGGTTCTGTTTATGTTTTTGTTTTGTTTGGCTATTTTGGTAGCTTTTGCGTTCCGGCCACATCCGTTACAAAATGTCCGCACGCGTCTTCAAGAGCTTTATGCGTGACTTTTTTGCGGTTAGTTTTTGCAATTTTTTCCTATGAATAACAATTGTAAATTTTCGAGAAAAATTTGAAATTCTTTCTATCCGAAAGTGTGCCAAAAAATACTAAGATACTTGAACTTCAAATCAATTTCAAGTGTATCAAGGCAAGTGGGTGTGTGTGAGAAACAGTTTCCGTGCTTGGCTCGAGCTCGCTGGGAATTATCGCAGCTGATTTAGCGCGTGGCATGCGAAACTTTTGCAGCTAATCCACATTAATCGGCGGCTGAAATGCAGCTTAAGGAAAATCGTGTCAATCAATAGTCGGCTAATGTTTCGTTCTTCCTCCGTAGGTGAACTACGATGAGCAGCGGGCTGATCCGGAGGCGACGCGCCTGGATGGCAACGGTCGCTACTATCCCAACTGCTCGTCGGACGTTTGGCTGCGCTCATGCGAGCGCGAGATTGTGGAGCCCATCGAGGGTCACGCCAGCGGGCACATTCCCAACTGGCTGAACGGCAGCCTGTTGCGCAACGGGCCCGGCAGCTGGAAGGTGGGCGAGATGAGCTTTGGCCACCTCTTCGACTGCTCGGCGCTGCTGCATCGCTTTGCCATCAAGAATGGTCGTGTCACATATCAGAATCGCTTCGTGGACACGCAGACCTTGCAAAAGAATCGCGCCGCCCAGCGCATTGTGGTCACTGAATTCGGCACAGCTGCCGTGCCGGATCCTTGCCACTCGATCTTTGACAAATTCGGTGCGATCTTTAAGCCGGACAATGGCACCGACAACTCGATGATATCGATTTATCCGTTTGGCGATCAGTATTATACCTTGACCGAGACGCCATTTATGCATCGGTGCGTATACTTAATAAACAATACTAAATTAAACATAGATATGGGAAGAAGGCCTAAGAAATATGAATTTGTTACCTATTCATGATAATTCTCGGCTTATCGGTTTGGGGATCAGACCCCTTCTCTCCTCGTCACGTATCCTCTCTTTCTCTAATATAACTTTCATTTATGTCTACCTCTCTCTCTCTCTCCTTTCCTCTTCCCCAGCCACTATCCTTCTCCCTCTCTCTCCCTCTCCCCCCTCTCTACCCATCCCATTGTATTATTTTCTCTTCTCCTCTATCCCTCTCCGTCTCTCACCCTCTTCCTCTTTTCTACATTTATCACCTCTCTCTCTCTCTCTCTATCATGGACTCATTCTCTCTTTCTCTTTCTCTCTTCAGCATAAATCCCTGCACACTCGCCACGGAGGCACGCATTTGCACCAGTGACTTTGTGGGCATCATCAACCACACCTCGCATCCGCATGTTCTGCCCAGTGGCACGGTCTATAATCTGGGTATCAGCATGACCAAGTCTGGGCCGGCGTATGCCATAATCTGCTTTCCCAATGGACAGCACATGTTTGAGGATGCGCACGTGGTGGCTACACTGCCCTGCCGCTGGAAATTGCATCCTGGCTATATGCACACGTTCGGGCTGACCGAGCATTACTTCGTGATTGTGGAGCAGCCGATGTCCGTCTCGCTAACGGAGTACATTAAGGCGCAGCTGTCCAATCAGCATCTGGCGGCCTGCCTGAAGTGGTACGAGGATAAACCCACGCTGTTCCATCTGCTGGAGCGAGCGAGCGGGAAGTTGGTGCAGACCTACGAGTCCGAAGCCTTCTTCTACCTGCACATCATCAACGCCTACGAGCAGGATGGCCACGTGGTCGTGGACATATGCAGCTATAAGAATCCCGAGATGATCAACTGCATGTACCTGGAGGCCATAGCCAATATGCAAACGAATCCCAACTATGCCCAGCACTTTCGCGGCCGCCCCCTGCGCTTTGTGCTGCCTCTGGGTGCCGGCAGCTCATGCAGCTCCAGCAAGCGACGCCTGGTCAAGTCGCTCTCCCTGGTGGGTCTGACGGCACCACCCCCCACGCTCCTGAAGCACTCCGCATCGCAGTATGCTGACATTACCTACATGGCCACCAATGGTAAACAGGAGACTCCCGCCAAGGATTCGAAGCGTGCGAGGTACGACGAGGACGACTGCGTCAACCTGGTCACACTGCGGAATACCCAAGCGGAGGCCTACCAGGGTGCCACTGGTATCTATCTGAGGCCCGAAATGCTCTGCGACTGGGGCTGCGAGACGCCCAGAATCTACTACGAACGGCATATGGGCAAGAGCTATCGCTACTTCTATGCCATCAGCTCAGATGTGGATGCACAGAATCCGGGCACGGTAAGCTAAGCTGATCAAATGACTGTCATCTTTAATAATACTCTTTCTCTCTATCTCTCTCTCTCTCTCTCTCTTTTATTCTTTGCCTAGCTCATTAAGGTGGATGTGGTGAGCAAAACTTGCAAGACTTGGTGCGAAGATAATGTCTATCCATCGGAGCCAATTTTTGTGGCCGCGCCGCAGCCGCAAAGCGAGGACGATGGCGTCATCCTGGCCTCCATGGTCGTGGGTGGAGGACTAAACGATTGCTATGTGGGTCTCATAGTGCTCTGTGCCAAGACCATGACGGAGCTGGGACGCTGTGACTTTCATATCAATGGCCCGGTGCCCAAGTGCCTGCACGGCTGGTTTGCCCCGAATGCAGTTTAAAGCGCATGTCAAATATTTAACTCGTAGTTAATCTCTGTTTGTATTTGCCTTAAAGTCTAGCTTAGTTCCTACACGAATTTTGGATTTATGATGTTCGCAATAAACTCTTGCCATTTCTTTTGGAACACCCGATGGAATTTGCGCCTCTCCACCGAATTGAGCACCGAATACTTCATGGAATTCAATGCCAGCTGCTTGAGGAACCGCAGATCTGCCTCCACCGGCGCCATTGCCATGAATGCATAGTAGAAGTCATAGCTGAGTCCCTTGGCGCCCCAAACGCCCGGATCATCCGCCGATATGATAATCGGAAAGTTTTCGGCTATCAGAAAGCTGGCCGGATGATTGCGCAGATCCCAGATGAAGCCCAGCACCTGATTGGACAGCGGACTCACCTCGATGGCTATGTTACGCTTCTTGATCGTCGACCACAATTGCGGATGCTTGGGCAGGGCGAACCCATGGCCAATGCGCTTCGTGTTCAGCAGTATCGCATCCATCATATTCCAGTCTGTACGACCATACCAATCTAGGGGAGAGTATTACCATAGATATCGTTGTCTTGGCTGGGTGGGATCAGCTCCACTTACTTGTCTCGCCCGCATGAAAGAAAAAGTTCGCCGTGCTGGGCATATCGGAAAACTCATTCACGTATTTACTAATCGGATCTCCCGTGTCCTCCTGGCCAATCATATCGAAGCCAATTATGAAGTTGGGTTTGGCAGAGCTGTGAATTTTAAGGATGATAATATATTTACTTTATTGGGGCTTCTGTTCTTAAAGCACGAGACGTGGCAATTCGGAACATATATTTTCCAGAACCTCAGGAATCCTTTTGTTAGGGTATATATTCCAAATTCATTTTCTCTATTTGGGTTAAATACCCAAGGTTAAAGATATATCTACGCCTATTCCCACCCGATATACCTTTAATCATTTAATCTGAGTACTCACTGTAGCTGCTTAAAGGTGCGTATATTCTCGGCCATTTTCTCCTCTGATGCGCGATTGCGTTTCGCATAGATGACTTTGAGGCCCACGAAATCCGGATGCTTGGCCTTAAACTCCTCCACAATGCGCTCCAGCTGGTTGGCCACGTCCAGCGAGCTATACGTGCGATTATTGTCGTCATAGAGCTGAGCAAGCAAATCAACTTGATATTCAATTGCGGAATCCAAAGTTTTCATAGCATACTCACAGGTGAGAGCGAAGCTCTGATCTCGGCATAAATGATATTGTCCTCGCAGAGCTCCTCCAGCAGACGCTTGTGGTAGGCGCAGTAGGTGGGCTGATATTTGTAGAGACGATCCACAGTGGTGAAAATGTTCTCGAATCGATTCCAAATCAGTTTTTTGTTGGGCATCAGTGCTAAGGGGCATTGAGTTTAGAGTTGGGGTAGATCATGGATAGCGATGGCAGACACTTACTCTCCGGCTTGGTGGTGTGCATGTTGATGTGCTTCTCTAGCTGACGCTCGTATTGATGACGATCCTCGGCATTGATGCGCTCCGTGCAGACATTCTGCTCCTCGCTGTGGCAATTGGAGCTGGCCGTGTCGTAGGTGAAGATCAGCACGCCATTTATATCGCGGCACGTATAGAGATTGTTGGTGTTGGTGAGATTTGAGATGATCCACTTGGAGCTGACCATGGCCGTGTTGTGGCCGTGCAGGAAGGCGCCCTTCGGCATCTTCTGTATGATGCGAAAGACGTCGCTTTGGCGCACATATTGCTTGCCCTGAAAGAAGTGCATGGCTGGTGCGTACTTCTCCGGGTATTTGATGCCCTCGGCTATCTCCGCTCGCTTGGCAATCATGAGGATGCTGTTGGCTTTCTCCTCATCCGCCGTGAGCCAGAGATTGCCTCCCAGCGAGGCCATTTGCTCCGCTTTCATTATGCGTTCGCGCAGCGTTACGTAGGCTGTATATACGAAATACCAGGGTATAATCGGGTAGATCTGCTCTATTATTTGTACCTACGTTGATCTGCAGCCAAGAGCTGGCTCAGCAGAGGCAGCCACAGGCAAATCAGTTCCAGCAGCATCGCACGGTTTGTGTATAAATTATTTGATTTACTCTATATATGCTTTACATATGTACATATATAGTATATATGTGGCCGATTCTGTCTGTTGTGCCTAGTTTGCCGTCCGCTTGCTAACTGATAAAGCCGCTGGCGATGCGCGCACTAAAAGTCTCCACATGAGCTTAGATGATTTTAGATCCCGCGGCTGGGAGAGATTAGCGCCAGCTGTGCTCAGAGTTCAATGCCAGTGATTTGTTTTTTTTTTTTTTTGTTTTTTTTTTGTTTTTTGCAAAATTGTGCATACTGACCGACGAGGGCGCGAAAACTATGTAAAACAGAGCATATGTGAATGTGAGTGTGTCTATTTGCATAAACAATATGTCAAAGCGCGAGCCCTGCATTAGGCAGGCTTAGCTGATGTATGAATACCCTAACTGCAGCTGGAGAAAGGGGTATAAGTGGATTCTATGGGTTGACTCATGTGTAACTCCAACCAAGACTGAGGACATTAGAGGAAATTCCAATTATTTGCAGATAAATTGAGTAGCAAACAAACTATACCCTGTGAATAAGATCAATTCGGTTCATCAAAGTTTTATACAGCATAGTTCAGACGCTAGTCCTGCATACCCTTTTCTATATTCATATATGTCGTATTTTTAGTTTAAAATATATTTTTTGCATATTGTTTACTAACCCAAATTGTTTTGGGGCCACTAAAATTGATACTTGGCATTGAATGTGATATGTACAATTTTTTTGCCAGATTCAAAGGGGCGACAGTTCAGCTGAACAGTAAATGTGCGAAAAGGTAAGCGAAAGAAAAAGTGTCTGTGAGAGAGAGAGCGAGCGAGAGGGTGTGAGAGATTTAGATGTGTTAGATTGTCACTGTCAAGAGAACAAAGCTGGAAAAAAGTGAAATGAATCGTGGGAAATGCACAATAGAAAATTATAAAAAAAAAACATTGAGCCGCGCTTATCGGCGAGCTTTTTAAATAAATAAAACCAAATTATATTTATTTGTGTTTGGTTTTTTACATTTACTATATTATAATGAAAAGCTAAACTCAAATCAACAATATTATATTATATACATGTGCATAAATGCTCAGTGATTAGTTTTGAAACAGATATATGCCTCATGATATATTGAAATTTAATATATATTATACCATATAAATATATTTCCTCAAATTTGTGTCTAATATTTCTACATTAAACTGAAATTTACTTTAGGGGGAACCAGCTTAAGCTTGAAAAAAAACTTGAACATGTAAAAATACGTAAAAATAGTCGAAGAGCGATGTTATTATTTATAAGATAATTGTATTATTATTTTTTTAAGCATTTGCATTTTTCTCAAACTTAAAACACGGAGAAGAGTTTCCTTGAACGCTGAGCTCATAAATCATTAAACGGTGTTCATCAATGTATTGTCAAATTCAATAATAGAATTAGTCAGATTTTTTACATTAGTAAAGTTGTGAATTTTCTTGAAATATAATATATATTTAATAAAAAATAGTATTTCGCCGCAATTTTCTTTAATTTGGATTCTCTTCAACAAATTCAAACCCACATTTAACAAACCCAATACACCTTTTCATACCCCTTGTTAAACTGTCTAAATTTACTAAATTGTACAAAATGACTTTTAAAATTACTCTTAAGTTGTTTAATATTCTTCATAATATAATTCTTCATAATATAATTCTTCATAATATAATCTTATTTATAGCCTTCACAATAATTGTTCCTCTTCTTGTCAGCTGCCATGAAATGGATGCAAAGTCATGGCATAAAATTTTCTCAATTTTAAAACTATGAAATTATTTCTTATAAATAGTGATATTACTTTATTTTATGCTGGTGACAATTGATGTCGCCAATTACCGTTGAACAAGCGTACGCCCAGCCCCTAATGCGAATTCTCAGCACTAGCATCACGGCTTGTAGAGGGAACAGCTCATTTCGTATGCGATTAGAAATCAGCTAAGCGCGTCCGCAAACGTCAGTTGGCAATTAACAAGCAGATTGTGTATGTAGCACGATGTTAAGATACCCTGTAATTCGGAGAACAATAGTTGAGACTGTGGAAATATATAATAAATAAACCGAAATAATGATATTTGTTATAAGAAATTGAAAAATGGGAACCGCTCTTTGAAATTTAGTTATTAAAAATCTCAGTCCTCACAAATTGAGTGAGGTTTGGCTCTAATTTTATGTATATATATGTGTTGTTAAAGTACTATATGTGATTGTACAGTTTCTACACT